GATGCCCGCTGCTCCCCCACCCAGACCAGTGTGTGCCGTGTGACCAAGCGCCCTGACTTCGCCGCCACGGGTCAGTGGGAAGTGGTGACGGAGAGCGAGGGGAAGCAGGAGACGGCCGTCTTCGATGCTGTGCTGGTGTGCACCGGGCACCACACTGAGGCGCACCTCCCGCTGAGCACCTTCCCAGGTACGGCCCCACACCCTGGCGCAAGGAGAGACCCCAGAAAGCTCAGCCATGGGAACCCCTGTTCTCCCCACTGCTCTTCCTCCTAGCCTCAGCGATTCCCTGCGGTGCTTTGACTCGGGGAGCAGTCCCACACTCTCCAGGAGGGGTCTGGTGGGGCCAGGGAGGGTCCCCACTTCAGTTTTTGGGGAGGTGATCCTCCAGCCCATCACCAGGAAGCCAAGCATCCCTCCTCCATGCCTGCAGGCATTGAGAAGTTCAAGGGCCGCTACCTCCACAGCCGAGACTACAAGGATGCCCAGGATTTCTCGGACAAGAGGGTCGTTGTCATCGGGATTGGGAACTCAGGGTTGGACCTGGCTGTGGAGATCAGCCAAACGGCCAAGCAGGTGAGCAGCAGGACTGGGGTCCTGGTGGGCAGGACAGCCCCCCTGGGGCACCGCTGGCTCCATGAGGACACCACGACCAAGGCGCTGGCACAGCCACCACTCCCTCCTGGCACTGACTGCATTTGGCAGTGCCAGCACCTGGCAATCCCAGACTCGATCCTATATGGATACCCCAATTTCCATTCCCGAGCCCTGGGCTGGGGCTGCCCCTGCGGCTCTTCTCTACCTCTCCTTGCCAAGTGCCCACCCCTGCCTGCCTCTGCCCTCTGAGCCTTTGCCCAGCCCACAGGCAGCGTGAAGAGGAGTGATCCCAGTGTGAGGACATCTCCCCCCTGGGGCAGCCCCCCAGGACCATCACAGCCTTCAGGAAGGAATGCTTCCTTCCTCACGCAGGTCTTCCTTAGCACCCGCCGGGGCGCGTGGATCCTCCACCGTGTTGGAGATCAGGGCTACCCCATCGACACCATCTTCACCACCCGCATGAAGACATTCCTGCAGAAGCTGATGACCCCGTCCATGGTGAGCGACTTCGTAGAGAAGCAGCTGAACGCGAGGTTCGACCACTCACACTATGGCCTGAAGCCAAAACACAGGTGCCAGTAAAAGCTCCCCCTGCCCAGGAGGGACCCCCCAGCTCCCCCCGCGTCCAGCACCGCTTGGCCATTTCCATGTTCCCTCTGCCCAGGCTGGGGCTGAGGCACCAGCCCTGGAAACCCAGTTAATAGCTGTGGTGTGACCAGGCAATGCTCAAGGGAGCCACCACTGCCCCTTCTGGGGACCCTTGGTGGCATCAGTGCAGTAGCAGCTGCCAAGCATCCCTGGGGGACCAGCCCCATTGGTGATGAGCATCCTCTGGGCTGAGCATCCCTGGGAAAGAGCATCCTCGGAGCAGGGAGCAGTGGGTGAAGCAGGACACGGAGCAGAGACACTCCACCCCAGCACCCTGATGGCTCCTTGTGCCTTCCAGAATCTTTGACCAGCACCCAACCATCAACGATGACCTGCCTAACCGCATCATTGCGGGAAAGGTGCTGGTGAAGCCGAATGTCCGGGAGTTCACGGAGACATCTGCCATCTTCGAGGATGGCACCAGGGAAGACATCGACGCTGTGGTCTTTGCCACGGGATACAGCTTCTCCTTCCCCTTCCTCGAGGACTGCGTGAAGGTGGTGGAGAACCAGATCTCCCTCTACAAATTCATGTCCCCCCCTGACATGGAGAAGCCGACGCTGGCTTTCATCGGCCTCGTCCAGCCCCTGGGCGCCATCATGCCCATCTCCGAGCTCCAGTGTCGCTGGGCCACCCGCGTCTTCAAGGGTAAGCGAGGCAAACCTCCCCTGTGGCTGCAGCCCCAGCCTGCACCCCTGGAGCCGGGGCAGATGGTGCCCAACCGTGTTTGGGAGGCAGCAGCTGGCTGTGCCATCCTGGTCGCAGGCGATTGCATGGCCATCTTGCAGCCATCATGGTGAGCCAGGCTTTTGCCTAAGCAGCGCAGGGACATCCATACCCTAAGCCCCATGGGCTGCTCCTTCCCATCCTGAGGAGCTTGGACATGCCTTTGGTGCCAGACCACCCACCATGGTGGTGCTGGCAGGGGCACAGCACCCAGGCAAGGGCAGCACTGCAGAGGCCACTGTTGCCAGCGGGGTGCAGCACCCCCATGCTGTGGCTTGTCCTCCCTAGGGCTGAACAAGTTGCCCCCACAGCACAACATGGAGGCTGACATCAAGCAGAAGACAGAAGCAATGGCAAAGCGGTAAGAGACCCCCGGGAACAGGGAAGGGGACAGTTTGGGCACGGCTGCTCACGGGCACCCATTCTGTCCCATGGCAGCATCCCGGCATATTTGGGTAAATGGCAGGGATGTGCTCGGCCATGCTACACCCAACCCACTGACCCTTCCGTCCAATCCCGCCTTGCCAATGCACGGGGCATCTACCCACCTGCCCGCAGGTACGTGAGGAGCCGGCGGCACACCATCCAGGTGGACTACCTCCCCTACATGGATGAGCTCGCCTGCCAAGTCGGGGGGGAGGCCATCCTCACCCAGTGGCAGCGCATCATCAAGCCTCTGCAGACACGGCGTGTGGAGGAGCACCCCTCAGCCCCCACCATGCCCCTTGTCTTCAAGCTGGTCGGGGCCGTGGCCGTCCTCGCCATCGTTTTTGCTTACTTGTAGGTGCTTGCTCTTGCTGGGCTGCCCAGAGGGAAGGGAGGCTTTTTGGTGCAACAGCAGGGCTAGCCGGCCCCCCGCTACCCCGTGTCAGCCTGTGCACCCCAGTGCTGGCAGGAGCCCTCGTCCTGCCTGCCACGGCCCTGCTGCGGCCACAACACAAGCGCGGGGTGTGTGGAGCCTCCCCGGCTGGCGAAATAATGCCTCAGTACCCACACTGCACCTCCTCCCAGGGAGCCACCGCCAGGGATGGACAAGGAAACCTGCTCACACGCAGGGTAAAATCCAGTCCCTCGGGGCCAGCGCTTTTGACCCAGCAGGGATGCAGCAGCTTTCCTGTCACCTATAACCCGCCTGAGCCACCACTGGCTACACTCACACAAGAGCTAAGCAGCAAAGGCACCACAAACGTCCTAACTGGATAAAAGTGTGTTAAACAGAGCCAGGTGTCCGTCCCATTACTGACAGCACCCCATCCCGCTGCGTGCTGGGGGGAGACACAGGTTTGAGGTCGGCCTTGTGCCAGCGGCACAGCTCCAGCTGCGCAGCATGGGCTGCATGCATGCACATGTGTGCACATGCGTGTATCCACAGCAAAACTGCCTCTCCGGGGTGTGTGCCGCCAGAGCGGGTCACAGTGGTCACAGCAGCACGGCTCAGTGCCACCCTCATCACCGGCACGCAGCACCTCCGGGCACAGCTGGGTGGGCTGGGGACGCAGAGCGGGTGGCAGGGGGTCCTGGCCACCACAAGCCAGGGCCAGCATGGCTGCCGGACACCAGTGCCCTGAGCATCCCCCGTTTTGTTTTCCACACCACGACCCGCTGAAATCTGGAGCGTGGCCACATCTCAGCCCCTGTGCCCAGCTAGTCCTGGGGCAGCGTTGGCATCGTTAAGCGCTTACAGAACCTAATGAGCCCCTAGCGGAGGGCGGGTGCAGGCAGGAGGTGTGGCGTGGCAGCGGGATGAACCTGTAGATCATGTCCGGAAGAAACGTGCTTGTGACACCCCAGCTGGTCTCGGGTCCCCCACGGGAAGCACAGGGACAGCCATCCCCGACCGAGCAGCATCGTGCCAGGCTCTGCACCCTCCCGAGCACGTGCTGCCCCCGGCCGAGGCTTCCCTGCCACCCTTGCCACCACCGCACCGCAATACATGGCTGCCCAACGAGTAGCCATCATCGGAGCCGGTGCCTCTGGCCTGTGTGCCCTGAAATGCTGCCTGGATGAGGGGCTGGCACCCACCTGCTTCGAGAGGAGCGGCGACATCGGGGGGCTCTGGCGCTTCGAGGTAAGCTCCGTGCTGTGCCAGCCCGCCCCACGGCGGCAGCACGGGTGGGTTGGGATCCACCGTTGGCAGCTAAGGAAGCACCACACCCCTGCTTTGCATGTGTGCGGCAAGAGGGTTGCTGAAGAAAACCACAGAAAAAAAAAAATGATGCAACAGCAGGAGACCCCGTGGTGCCAGCCACACTGGACCCGTCTCCTTCCCACCAGCAGCAGGACGGACCCTCCCCAAGGACCTTACCCTAGGGCCTACTCGCCACGCTCAGCCTTCCCCCTTTCCATCTCTCCAATCCCGGTCTCATCCATCCCCTCCCCTGCTGCTTTGCTCCTGGTTCCTTCCAGCACTTTCCTACCCATCCCTGGTCCCATGTGACCCCACTGGCTGTCCCAGGCCCTGTCCTGCCCAGCCCCTCCCTGAAAGCGCCGGTTGCTCCTCTCCCTGCTTCCATGATGCTCGCCCACGCAGAGGCACCCAGCGCTGCCGCCTCTGTGTCTCGGCTCTCCCTGCCTGGGGGGAAGCCCCAGAGCTCGTTTCTGCCCCCGCCTAATGAGGCTGCTGACTTTTCCCCCAGGGACCCATGGAGAAAAAGACAAGCCTCGCCACCACGCCCTGATATGTGGGTAGAAGAGTCTGGGTGGGGGACACACTGCACCACATCAGCACGGGGTTTGGGGTGGCTTGGTTACAGTCCGCTGGTTCTGCCGACAGTGGGTCAGAAAAGGGGGGGGTGGGGCAGAGCCAGGGCA